TGCATCCCCGATCATTAGCTTTGTCCGACAAAGGGGCTGATCCCGTCACTATGATCACCCACTCAGATGAATTCTCAGACTGTCCCAACATACCCAGGTTTTGACTCCCGTTAAGGATCTCACTGATTGGCATATCAAAGACAGCCCAATCCGACACCTAGTGCAGTACCATAATCGGGTCTAGGGTCAGGTGCAACTTTCCAGTTTTGCCCATCAATCTCCAAGGTTCAGGGCAGTACTGGAAATTTGGTCCGGTTCAAGGGTTCAAGTAATCCTACACTACGTGTGCCTTGGGTCTCACCCTGGCAGCTGAGACAAGCCACCCCAACAGTTGGCAGCACACCAATGTCAGCCTTGGCAGGATAAATCTCCCAAGACTTATCCAACGGCTGTGAACATTTAAAACCAACACAAGTCTCATTAAGTGTCCAGTTTTAGGGTCTTAGACAGAAGTATGCCACACAACATGAAGTCGATTGAAGCTAAGGGCATACAAAAACTGTCCAATACCTTCCTCCTCATCCCCCTCCTCTTAAGGAGGCTTACGTCTCCTTGTGCTTGGGTGGCTTATACGGTTATGCCTCTTATGTTCTGAACTCTGCCTCATGCCTCTAGGTAGTGGAATGCCTCGCTCATGCCTCTGTGTTTTAAAACATTGTACCATATAATACTTCCAATATTACAACTGCCTGCCCCCTAGAAAGATCCCTAAGATAATTCAGTCTTTTTAGTCCCCTTTTTGCTAGTGGGTCAATTAAGATGAAGCACTTCTATGATGAAATCTTCCATTTTTCTATTATACTTCTTGAAGAAGATTATAGTCATGGTGTCTTCATGCTTGTCCATTCACAAGGAGTTCAGGCCTTCAGAGGGTGTGTCTCCTTTCCTTTTTTTTTTATCTATGAGCTTGTGTAAATTTATGATATATAATCATTCTCTTTGATTCACCTTTTGGGAAGCTTAAGGAGATCCCATATACTATACATGTTAAACATCCTAATATTTTGTAGCATATTAGAGATATTATAAGAATCTGGTATACATGTAACCATGTTGTTTCTGAAAGTAGTTATTATAGTCATCTAATGATTCTAATCACCTATCCTTGAATGTTCGGGTTACTAGTAATTAGATGTGGGCATGTGGCTAAGGCTCCATTTGGGAAGAGTACAAATGCTGGTTCAGTACATATTTGCACTCTGGTTCAGTTTTGCTAGTTTTTGGTAAAAGTGCATTTATGTCTTGAAAATGACAGCAAACACAGATTGTAGGACATGTTTGCATTCAAAACGAGAGCAAAGTTCGCATCGAAAATGGATACAAACTTTGCACTCAAAGTTGATCAATGTTAAAAAGGTATATTTCAATATTGGGATTAATGTTTGTACCTATCACAACTAGAAATCATTTGGTAAAGGTACAGAATTATCATTACAAAACTAAACCAACTTTGCATTTTCATGAACCAGATATATGTGCATTTGTACTGATCATTTTTGTATTTGCACTCTTCCCAAAAGGAGCCTAAAATTTTCATTTTAACCTTGCTGATCAATGTATATATACTCATCCCATGGGTAGAGTCAGCCTAGCTCTGCCCCAGATTCTGCCTTTGCTTTGGTGCTTGTGAAGATACACTCCCTTGTGCAATCCTTGGCATGTTTGTGTGTTCAAGACACCCTCCTTGACACACACACACACACACAAAGGTACAAGATGTCACACATCATGGCTTGGGTAAATAACGCTTTCATTGCACTATACAATGTTTAAGCTCTTGGACCGCTCTTTGGATCTCTTCTTGAATGTTAACAAATGAGGGAGTCCCCTATTCATAGGACTCTCCACATCCTTAATGAGTGAATGTGGGCCACATGTTTTCACCTCCTCATGGTAGCCACACATTACACCTTCTGTACTACATCCACAAGTTACACCTTTTCAAGTAGAAGTCTCTAGACCTCTTCTAGAGCAACCCCTCTCTAGAACATTCTGCAATCTCTCTTATATAATAAATATACAAGAATTCATTAGAGTATGTCTAGATCCCTCTTGATATTTCTTGGTCCAAGAAGACTACGTTCTAGAGCACTCCAGCCCAATGGAGAAGACTCTAGAACTCCCCAGAGTGCTCCAGATGACTCTGGAACTGGAACATCCCAGCCTTGGCTGGAATCCTCTATAACCACCTTTAAACCTCTAGCCAGGGGCACCCTTGCCTATAAGAGGTGTGGAGGTGTGACAATATGCTTCCTTTGGAATTTTTGTTGATCAGAAGCAATGTGCAATAGTTTAGTCATTGGCTTTTTGGGAAATGTAATATAATCTGTGCATTTTCTAAGTGCTCTGAGTTGTAACTATCTGCGTTTGCAGATGCATGAAGCAGATAGCAATGATATTGCTGCATCTATGACAGCCTTTGGAGGAGAAAAAATGGATAGAAATACTTAAGCAAGCCCAACACAATGGTCTGGAGCTTCCCCAAAATTCCATGTGTGCAATGCAAGCCTTCACTTACAATTTTTATCTGAAATTGATTTGACCTCTGAATCTTTAATCTTATACATGTTTTCTCATGAGGATTGTTTCCTTGATACATCTGCCTCGTATTTCTTTTTTCCTGTGGGTTGTTAATGTTCAATTTGCCTTCTCAAAGGGCTTTCCTAGTATTATTTTTAGTCAACATACCTTAGTAGCACATGGATAATTTGTTTTTTTCCCTTTAAATGTTAATTCACATCTAATTGCAGGATTTACTTGTCCTTGCAGGACATTCAACAAGGAAGAGGGAGTTCTTCAAGCCTACAGATCTATGGGAGAAAACCTGCAAGTGGATATGTTGAATTTGATTTGGATCATGATGAGGGTATTTCTCCTCATTTTGGAGTGCAGGGGTTAGATTCACAAGGAGCTGCAATCCGTGCATCCTCTGTTGGTGCTGCTGAGAGGCTGCTTCCTACAAAAGCTAGACTTGCAAGGTCTTCTTCTCCTGCGAGAATTGGAGCTAGGTCCTTACCACCAACAAATGATGGATTTGCTATTAATAATTCTCCAAGAAGAGTTGTTGAAGGGGCCTCACCATCACATTCCGGTTCTGAATATGGACCTGGAAAAGCTACCGATGGGGATGGGGAGAAGAGTGAATGGTGGTTTAAGTGTCAGCAGATGGAAACTTCTGGTACATACAATCCCAGTAATGGATGTGACCAGCAAAGGCCAAGAGCGTTGATTGATGCTTATGGAAATTACAGAGGGAAAAACACACTTAATGGGAAGCCTTTGAAGGTTGAACGGCTTGATATTAATGGCATAAACAGTAAGGAGGTTTCAAAAAGATGGCAGAATACCGAAGAAGAGGAGTATGTTTGGGAAGATATGAGCCCAACACTGACAGACCGTAGTAGGGGTAACGATCTCATGCCATTTAATCCTCCTCTTGGCAGCTTAAGCAGAAGAACTGGTTTGGAGAGACCTAGTACTGCAATATTGGAATCTGATTTCAGGAGAGGCAATTGGCCTAATCAGGTTCAACTCTCTACGATGGATGATGCAGCATTTATTTCTGGAGATGGGGTTTCCATCCTGGGTGTATGGCTCTTCAACTTTTTGTCTGTCCAGTTATCTGTTTGTTAGTTAGTAAGCATTAGTTAGCAATCTTACTGGATAGTAAGAATCTATTGATTTGCACAATTAGACGTGCTTTCCACTTTTTTAATCATTTAGTGGCTTATGCACAAAGTCCAAATTTTGTTTTGCTGGAACTATCTGTTACCTCATATGTCTTTTGCCCTGGAAAGTTGCAAAGAGCACTTGTGTTAAGTGATTCATCCAAGGGCAACTATCCATCTGATCTTATTAACATCAGGGTTTGTTGTTAAGTGGACAAATATGAGAATGTGTCTTGGGCAAATCATGATTTTGTCCTATTAATTCTTCCTGTTTCTGTTATCTGTATCGTATCCATAATCCCACAGTTCAGACTAGTGCAGATGCTTTGACCTGCATCCATGCTTATAGCGACACAATTCTTTTACTTACAACACTGTTTGTCACTCTAAAGATTGTATTATTATTCAAAGGGGTGCTTGGGGATTTCTTGATTGATAAGATCGTGTTAGTTTTCTTTTGACAAACAGATTGATTTTTCATGTACAACGGATTTCTTTTAGCCATATCCTTTCCTTGTGGTGAACTTTTCCTTGTTATTTATGAAAATGCCTCGTTATTATTGATAAAAAATGAGCAAGATAATTTTTTTTTCCAATTTTGAGCTTAAAATTTACATGACTTGGTGTTTCTTGCAGTCTGGCCATGTAACTATGGGCAACAACTCTCTTCGTTGTCCACAAACTCAAAATGAGTCAAGTCATGTTCAGAGTTCTCATCATTCTCAGGAACCACAGAATTTTCCACACCAATTCCCTCAGTCTTCACAAGAACATCTTGACCTGAAAGCAAGGGGAAGAGCTGTTCAGATGTCATTTCCAGCAGCTGGAGTAGTTCCATCAGCTATCAAGAAAATGCCTTCTCAGGTTGATAATTTTCTAGATACTGATGCACAATTTCAGAGGTTCTCAGGTGTTGTGTCCAGAATGGGATCTTCAAATCGTGATACTATGAATGTGGAGGCTCTTTCTACCATGATGCCACCAGCATCAGCATTGCAGAAGCATCGGGGACAAAGACCTTCCTTGGCTCCATTGGTCTGGCCTCCTGTAAATGTACCTAAATCTCATCCACCCCCTCCTCTCTCGGTTCTTCCTCAACAAAACCAGATTAAGAGTCAGTCCAATATAATGGACATTAGCAGGATCCCAAATAAGTCTTTGACTTTGCCTGGGCAGCATTTAGGTGTTATTGAGAGGAACACTTTAACTCCTACTAAGCTGCTTCAGTTTCCTAATCAACAGGCTGGATTGATTTCCTTGAATCAGCGAAGCCAGGGACAGGCTTCTCATTTACCCGCACAACCACTTATGTCTCAAAATGCTCAAGAAAATTTTGTTCCATCTGCTGTTGCTCAGATGTCAACTCACAAAATGGAACAACCCTTGAATCATGGACATATCCCACAAGGGCATTTATCTGTTACAAGTTCAATTTTACCTAATCCAATACCTGGGCTAGCATCATCGTCTGTTACAATTCATGGTTTATCAAATACCCCCTTCCATTTGCCAGGGCGGGCCTTGCCTCCTCTACCTCCAGGCCCCCCTCCTGTCTCGTCGCAGATAGAACCTATATCTCAAAATGTGGGCCCTATTGCAACTCATGCATCTAGTGGGAGTGCATTTTCAGGTCTAATTAGTTCTCTCATGGCTCAAGGTTTGATCTCATTGACAACACCTGCTTCAGTTCAGGTACATCTAAGTAATGTTTACTCTTTTTAGTTATTCTTGTTGAAGTGTTGTTCTTGGTGAAATAGCATAATGTTATATCTTAAGACAGCAATCCATTCTGTCAGGACTCCATAGGAGTTGAGTTCAATCTGGATCTCCTTAAGGTGCGGCATGAGTCTGCAATAAAGGCTCTGTATGCTGATCTTCCAAGACAGTGCACTACTTGTGGCTTACGCTTCAAGTGCCAAGAGGAACATAGTAGTCACATGGATTGGCATGTTACCAAGAATCGGATATCCAAAAGCCGCAAGCAGAAGCCATCTCGCAAGTGGTTTGTGAGTACTAATGTGTGGCTCAGTGGTGCAGAAGCATTGGGAGTTGATGCAGTTCCTGGGTTTTTGCCCACTGAAGCTGTTGCTGAGAAGGATGATCAAGAAATGGCTGTTCCTGCTGATGAGAATCAGAATGTATGTGCATTATGTGGAGAGCCCTTTGATGATTTTTACAGTGATGAGACAGAGGAATGGATGTATAAAGGGGCTGTATACTTAAATGCACCTGATGGTCCACCAGCAGACATGGACAGATCCCAACTAGGTCCAATTGTGCATGCAAAGTGTAGATCTGAGTCCACAGTAGTTCCTCCAGAAGATTTTCAGCTAGATGAAGGGGTATGTTTCATACTCTCTCCTACTTTTTCCCTTTTTGGCTTTTATGATATTCTCTCTTGATATCTATATATTACCTAATATATTTGAAATTAGACGTGTATTGTGATTTGGAAATTTCACTGTTATATTCTAGGAGGTCACAAAATATGTGAAACCTCCATAACCCTGAGTATTTTAACTGAAAAAAGGAAGTCCTTAAAATAAAGAATGCCAAATGCAGCCTTAATAGGTTTATTGGACATCTGAGCGGTTTATGGTGTTTGAGCTTGTCACTATCTTTATCCCCTCCCTTTCTTTGTCTTCTTTTTCCTCTGCTTTGTTTTCCTGTTTTTTGCTGTAATCATGTTTTACTCAGAAGATTTTGTTTCTTAATAGTAGTGGTTTATGGTGTTGAACTAGATGAAGGAACAATTAATTGGTGTGATAGCAAATTATTGGGCTGGCAAGCGTGACAATGAGGGGTTTGAATCTGAGAGTTGGGTCTTCATAAAGAAATTATAAGGAGATTTTTAAGTGTGTTCTCATTATGGTTAATGGCATACATGTTATTTTCACTTGTTTTTGGTTTTGTATTTTCTTGATTATTGTTATCATGTGTTAACGACTTTTTATCTTGATATTTTTCTTTATTCTTTATAACAGTTTTCATTTGCTAGAACTGTTGCTATTGCCAATCAGCTTAAGTTGAAGATGATCAATTTTCATTTGTTCTGCAGGGGACTACTGAAGAAGGTAATCAAAGGAAAAGGATGCGGAGTTAGATTGAAATTACCGGCGTTGATCTTGTGTAAATTATTTCGAGTTTCAGCATATGTTTATGGTACACCATTCTAATTTTCACCTAGAGCCTGCGTACCATGACATCATACTATAATCATGTATATGTAAAGTTGGGCCCTGTAACATCACATTCTTGCAACGAAATCTTACAAAGTTTTTCTCTGAGCAACTATTTGTTCTGTTTTATATTTTGCTTGTTATTTTGCAGTAAAGTTTCTTAGGGGTACTGAATAATGAGCTCTGCTTGCTGGCGGGGATACATTCGCCCAGAAATTCTATTGACAGGTCATTTTATTATGTCATCATTATAACTCTATTTTCTGGAACAACTGCTGCATGCGCTAATTATCTACAGGAGGGATACCAGATGTATAATTACCATGACCGAGTCTCAACACCGCATAAGTCAGAGGCTGGTGATCAAAGATAACAGGATCAATTCTTGACGTCAAACTACTCACTGGCATCTCTAGGGTCTAATTTTTTTTTTTTTAATTTTCTTTATCTTATACTTTTTGGTCCTATGGATCACCCATTTCTATATGAAATACCCTGATTAATGGGGTATGAAATGGTAAACCTTCTTGATTCAACTTTCGATGCACATGGTATGATTATGCTCTTTGATCAGTTTTCCTGCGATTGAACATTGCATCTGTGCTATATATTTTAGAACTTACTATTATATTGTTGCGAACGGGGTAAAGACGTATAGTACTGCATTTAAAAAAGAAAGTGGTGGCCATTTGATTAGAGATCGTTTGAAATGAGTGAGGCTTTTAATCACCGAAATGACGAGATAGATTGGGATTGGGCTTGGGCTTGTTACTTGTTAGAATACCAAAAGTATAAGAAAAAGTGAAAATAAAACTATTTTCGTAAGTTGATTGGAGTTGAGGAAAGAGTTTTTGTATGGGAAAATTCCTGATCAGTACCTTCGACATTAGGGATTGTCTCAACTCTCAAGTCAGTCTCTGAATTTCAAAACGTGTCTGTAGTATTTGAACTTTCAGAATGTGTCCAATAGGTTTCTGTGGGTAACCGCCCTTCGGTTATCTATTACAGCTCAGTTTGGAAGGAGTACAAATATAAATATGTACAGTGCAAAACTTTGTATCTTGAATTATTTTGTATGTATTTGCACTACACATTTGCATTTGTACTCTTTCCAAACTGAGCTGTATACATGATGACATGTGCCACTTAAAACTTTTGAAAATATAAAACTATCACTCAAAAGATGATGCTGTTCATTATCTTCTATTTTGAAAGAAGACACTGCTCATTGTCTTCTACCATGAGACTGAATTGGTCACTGAATTCAGTTCCAACTAGAAACTTATGGCATTAGCACAAAAACAATGTAAAAACTCATTCTAAACAGAATAATCCGTTACTGAAACTAAAAACAACCCTCTAATACTCCCATATTACAATAGCTCAAAAATTCTCGGTAAGCTCCTTTTGCAAGATGATCTGCCATGCTGCTTTCTGATCTTTAATATAAACTTGATCAGATGCTTTAGGACATTAATCCTTCTAAAGGTGGGGAAGGAACTAAGAAAATAACAAGATCCAGTTAGATTGATTTTGGCAAGACCAATATAACCTTACTATAACTACTTCTGTTTCCTGTTTCTATGTAAACAAGTATAGTAGGATCCAGGTTTCATGGTTGCAAATTAGAACAAGCAATTCAACCACAACCTCAGACCCTAAAAACTACTAACTCATCAGTTCCAAGACTGAATATAATCAAACCAATTGTAGGTAATGAACAGAGGAAATCTTACCGTGTGTTCAAGTCTGCGTTTTGAAAATTTCCCTGCACATAATTTATACAATTAGACGAATAAAACTTTAACGTGAAGCTTCAAGTCAATATGCAACTGTAGCCCGCACCTTACAGCTATGTTTGGTTTGAAGGAAAAGGAGGGGAAAGGAAGGGAAGGGTGAGGAAACCTGTATAAGGTTTATAAAGATTTCCCCACCTTTATTAGGCGTATCTACTGGTTGTCCTAAGCAACCAAGTGAAGATTTTTGCATCTACTTGTTGCCCAGATTATTAGGCGTATCTACTTCCTGTATGCTCTTAGTTTAGATATGCACTTTGCATGCATGAAGGGAACTCCACAACGACAAAGAACTTGTGCGTGATGATAATGATGTACCGAGAGCGGCAAAACTAAAAGCCATGATAAATGAATAAGGCAAACTCAAAATCCGCAAAAGTTTATGATGGAGAGAATTCATGTTTTGCAATTGTTGCTTCATGTTAGTCATCAACTATCTCAGGGAAAGATGTTCTGTAACTCTTGCCATTTTATTTTAAGAACTAAAAACACAAAAGCCATAGAACTTGTTAGATTGGTAACAATCTATAATATTTCTGTTTTCAGTCTCAAGGTAGTAGACAATGAACAGTATCTTCTATTGAAGGATAGTTTTGATATTTTAAAAAATTAACTGACGAACTGTTAACAACAGGGACCTATTAGATACATTCTAAATGTTTAGATACTGTAGAAACACGTTTTGAAGTTCTGGGACTGATTGAGACCACCTAAAATTCAGGATACTGATCATGAATTTTCCTTTTTTTATATTGATAGGGCTTCTCTAGAGATCTCTATTCTCTACAGCTTTAAAAAAAGAAGGCTTCTGTTCTGGGAGAATTTCAGTAAGACAACGATCACAATGTGGGGCTTGTTATGGATGTACGTGATCCAGTTCAGTATTCTGTTGAGAACTCTCGGCAAGATAACGATCATTATTCTCTACTTGTACTTCAATGATAAGGCTATGCCCTCTATGTTTTCAGGAAGATGAATCCATCAATCATTTATTTTGCTCCTGTTATTTTGCTTCTGCTGTGTATTTCGAGTCGAGTTTTGGGATATTTGAGTTTGAGCTCAACTTGAACTCAGATCGAGTTGAATTTCATACTTGAACTTGAGTCAAGTCGATACTTGCAAGTTTTTCGAGCTCGACTTAGCTTGAATCAATTATAAATAAATTGCTCTTAAAAATGATAAATAAAATAATACTTAAAATATTATATATATTAAAAGACTTGATTATAAATTCATTTATTTAACTGATAAATAAAATATTAAAAATAATATTTTATTAGAAGCTCGATTAGACTTGCAAGTTACTTGAGCTAGGTATTACAAAGTTCAAACTTTTTGAGTCAAGTTCGATTATTTAACGAGCCAGCCCAAGTAACTCACCAATTGACTCGGCTTGCTTACACCCCTAAGCCACACCTCAATAATAAGGCTATGTTTTTAGAAATTCTTAATTGGATTGCTGTAGCTTTCTATTTTATCTGATCAGCAAGAAATGAGAAAGTATTTAGGCTGCATTTGCAAATGATGCAAATGGAGTGTAAATCTTGGTTCAGGTAAATTTGTAATCTGGTTCACTTTTGCTTGTATTTGGTAGTATTACTTTTATGCATTGATAAATGACAGACCAATACATATTTACGTTGATAATAAGATGCAAAAGTACATCAATAAAAAAGAAGCAAATTTGCATTCAAGTGGGCTTTTGATAAAAAGAAAAACCATATGCTTTATTGGAATACATGTTTGCATCCCTTAAACATCTAAAAGTTTGTTTAGTATGAAGATAAATTTGTCAGTGCAAAACTAACCCAATTTTATAATTTTTATGGACTGTTTTACACTCTACATATTTGCATTCACACCTATTTGCATCATTTCCAAACACAGCCTTTAACAACAAAAGTACATCGATCCAATGGGCTATTAATCGTGCTAATTCAATTGCTATGCCTTCTGTGTCTAATGCCATTCTCAATACTACATTCCTTCTCTGTATTAAATTAAATTAAATTTGGATACAGTCATACAGATGACATATTATTTTCAGATGGAGGTATTATCTCTAACAATCTAGCTCCTGTGAGTACATTTATCTTACATATTGTTTTAGATAAGTGCATGTATCTTACATACATTTATCTACAGAGGATTATAGCAAGCAGATACAGAAGGATGGATATCATTGTTAATTTGCTTGAATTCAAAGATAATTTTGTGTGCTATTTACAATCAAACCTATCTGCCTTACCAATCAAGAGGTGGCTCGTTGGTCTATTAGCTGGTTTGTTTCAGCAGTGATGTGGTATTGAATCCCGCAATCACCACTTTAGAGAGAAAAGGGGTCAAGGGGAGGTTTAGTGGTGCAATGCACTGAAGACCAAAAAAAAAAAAAAAAAAAAACTCTGTTAAATTGGTTTCTGGGTTAGTGGTTTGATCGTTAGATTCAAATGTATTCCCTTTTTAAATTAAAAAATAAAAAATAATTAAAAGAAAATAATCAAAAACTGTTGTTCCAATTCAATGATCAATGGTTTGACCATTTAGATCAACGGATCATTGACCAAATCAACAGTTATTGACTAAGAAACAGATTAAAGATAAAACGAAACTGATTGTCTGGACAGTTTTTGGACTGAATGATATAACCGTCCGGGTCAATGATGATTTAAAAACACTGTGGAAGAAGAAAAAACAAATAAACAAGAAAAAGAATCTTAGAGCTTGTCTGTCACTATGGCGTTTTCTGGAGTCAGTTTGGCATGGGTATTTATTTGGTTGGATTCATTGTTTGGTCCATGGTTTTTAAAAACGAATTGGTGACTGAATCGGTCAGGGGTCCCGTTTTGATAAAAAAGTAAAAAAATTTAAAAAAAATTGGAAAATGATTAAAACCGTTTGAATGATTAACCGGCCGTTTCAGCGATTTACTAACCAAAATCAATGATTTTAGAGAAAAATGGAACTGGTCAAGTGACCGGTTCCTGATTTTTCCGGTCCGATTTTGAAAATCATAGTTTGGTCTTATAACGAATAAACGCCCAAAAATGGAAGTATATCAATTTTTGTGCTTTGAGCCATTGGTGGAAACTTATTTAAGTTGTCGTTTCTTTCCAATGCCCCAGCGTTTTAGTACAAGGGTAAAAAACTTAAAACAGTTTTCATAAATTGACTTAAACGACTCTTTTGCACTTAATTTTTTTTTTAAATTTTCATAAAGAAGTATATGAATAAATGCTAATTAAAAATAAAAGGGGTTTTTATTGTTTAGTCCACCCCTGCCTAGCATCTCCGCTCCCTACTTTGTTCTCTACTTTGATTTTGGGCATTTGAATTAATTAAAAGAAAATTAATGAAAACAAACATACTGTATTAAGTTGAAGAGTAAAAAAATAATAATAGAAAAATCTTAAGTTACTGTAATTTTTGTAAATGGCTATAGTTGATCAGCTCTCTCCAGCAGAATCAACAAAATCATTGCCATATTTATCCAGGGTTGTAATTACATTATTAGCGAACAAGTAATTAACCTGTGCTATATATCCAAGAGTAGATATATACGAGAGATGGCGAGGTGGGGGCTTTACATAGAGGAGGATGAAGGTACTTTAATTATACATGGAGCTAGCTAGATAGAACATGCTCGCTCTCCTCACTCTCGTTCAGTACTGCAACCTTGATCGAACTCCGCCTGTTGCCCATCTCCTTATTGCGTTTAACAAGATTAAGACTAGAAGCATAAC